TGCTACTCCGCCTGGGAAAGAAGGCGCAGTTCAAGAATGGTGCTACTCCGCCTGGGAAAGAAGGCGCAGTTCTAGTACTTACTAGGGAAGGTCGTCAGGTCGAAGTGGCCATTTGTAATGAGATGTAGCTCACTAGACGTGGTTTTGGACGCTGATCTCGAATCTGCCTTCGAAATTTGCAGAACGATTCTCTGAACGGAATTATGAAGGTTTGTTAGAATTAAAATGAAGGAAACAGAGTCGAGCGCGGTTGCCGGCCACGCATGAATAGCCGGGAAGCACCCTTACGTTCAACGGCGGCATGGTGTAGTGGTAATGGTCTTGCTTCGCGGGCATGCTATGAAGGGTTCGGATTTCTGGAAGGGAACTTCTTTTTGTGGGGAATGTCTCTTTTAAGTCTAGAAAACACTCAAACGCCAAATGGGTGCCATATTCGTGTTCAGGGAGCAAAACTACCCTTGGGGACAGGTTTCTAGCCAGATGTGAGGTTTTGACCTAACTTTGAAAAGTGCGGTAGCAGTTGATCGAATGATGGTCACCAATAGTTCCAGGGCCAGTCTTGTCGATTGCTTGTCTTTGGACGGAATTTGCTTTTAGATACCAGGAAAACTGGAGCAGTAACAATGCGTAAGAAGTGGCAAGACGAGGCTTTGTGCAGGAGAATGTATCTGCAGCTGAATAGGTGTGAACATCAACTGAACTAACCCATGGATGCTTCACTTTTCGAAGTCAGGTCAAAATGCCAGATTTGGCTAGAAACCTCTACCTAGGCGTAGTTCGCCCCCATAAATACGAATATGGCACTCGCTCAGCGCGAAAACGCCTGCACTGCGCGCCAAGGGCACCTGTACATCCAAAAATTCTCCTAGATCATAAGGCACTAAGCGCGCCAGTAAGCGAACGCAAACTGTTTTTCAGGCAAGTCAAGGAGAGCGCTAATGTAGTAGTGACGCCACAACCACTTTTTGCCACGTTTGCGCAAGAAGCAAAAAAGTTAAGCTCAGCAGGGATCCGATCCCATGACCTGTTGCGTGGTAAACGCGAGGGAAAAGCTCCATAACTCCGTTCAGAAAATCGTTCTGCAAATTTCAAAGGCAGATTCGAGATCAGCGTCCAAAACCACGTCTAGGGAGCTACATCTCATTACAAATGGCCACTTCGACTTGATGACCCTTCCCTAGTGAGGAAGACTGAGAGGACGAAATCGGAACAGCGAACGTAGCCTCAGCGACTAATCACAGTGAGTAGGCTTTTTATTGGGTTGGACGCGCGCCCCTCGCCACTTCACAAGAACTTTCACCTCCTGCGAAGTGGTTCTCTTTGCAGAAAATATCTTTGAAGACGTCACAGTCTCGATACCGACACTATCAAGTCCGGCGGTAGTCAATGAGGGCATAGGAATTTGAGTGGCCACCCGATTACCACTTGGCTGTTTTCTTCTTTTATTGTTGACTAACCGATCGCTATTGGTAGAAAAGGCAGAAGGAGGCGGGCTCAGTCCGTCCCTCCTAACACCGCTCCGTCTGATTGCTTCAAAACCAACTGTATGAATGAGAGAGGAGAAGGGCACAGTGTAGCGCGGCCCTCGCGATATGTACGTACCTTTACGACATGTTCATCTCGTTTTGAAACCCGATATCTTTAGAATTTAGCGATTCAACTAAAGATAATGATTACCGTAAGCCGTTTCCCATTAGAAGTCGCACGCAGTGATTCGTTTTCATAAAACATGGGGACTTCTCGGTGAGCAAGAGATAACGCAGAAGTTCGCCGATATACTGTGAAACCTGTAATAACTTTATTATCAAACTCTGAAGGACCTTAGCCTCTCTAACGTACCGTACATCTGTGTGCGACACAGTCTTTCCAGAAATTAGTGGATTTTTTCGCGGAAATTTCTCACGTATAACACACGTGGCACCATGAATGATGGTCTGCCCAATTCCTGCAATGATAATTATGCACAAGTATGGTGTCATAAAAGTGATTTCAATCCCAATCATGCCTAATTGCTTACCAAGGACCCCAGCTGATGTGTGATACAAAGGAAGGCACACGTAAATTCGATCCGTTTTTGGTCTGACTCCGAAGGCGCACTCACCTCCTGTAGCTATGTAGAAATACTAGAAAATTCATAGTGAAATTTCAATGGGTATCTCGACCATTACCGCATCACGGCACGTCAGCGAGAGTGAGAATCCCCTAGGGAGTCCTACATGGTCGCTGGAGGCAGGGCGGGAATCGTTAGGGCTAAATTTTTTTCTGCTTGGTCTATTTTCCTGTTTTCACACGCGTAACTGTATAATCACTCATCAGCCAGTCACAAGCGGCTGAGCACGACACTTACTGCTGACAGTCTCTATGAGAGTGCTCATCTAAGCACACTGCTAGCTGCGGTATGCTGCCGAGTCGTGTGGAGCGGGGCAGGATGGCCCTGGTTTCGGTCCGCCAGTTTTCACCCACTCTTTCAACCTAAACCAACACATTTTACTGCTGCCGTTTCATACAAGTGGTTTAGTAGAGAAATATTGTGGTGCTGTGGCCTGCCGCTAACTCACCCGCGCCTTCCACTTACAGTCCTATCACCAACAGAGTGCTACCAGCGCTCTCGGAGATGCGAGTTTTCGGGGAAATGGGATAAATGCGTACGTAAAGGTGATCGAAGCGGGGGGGAGGGGGGGGGGGGAATACATATCAGCAGAAAATTGTTCCAACCGGCAGAACGTGCACCCGATCCGCAAGTTGTTACAGCAAACCTAAGTGCTTTATAAGCGCCGCGTTCGGCATCCTGTTAGTTCCAGAAGTGGAATATGTTAGACAGAGTGGGTCTGCAAGAAATGAATTATATGAAGAAAGGATAAATTACAACGACTTTTTCCACTAAGGCGAGGAACAGCAGGGTGCACATGGTTACTCGTGCAATCCACTCACTTGCGTGCATATTCAAGGTTCCCTCCTAAGCATATTCTACTCTATTTTGTGTTTTTTCTTACGAATCAGATGCGACCAATTCCGCACGGTTCTCGAGCTGTCCATTATACCCCGTCTACTTCGCAGCTCGTTATTCTGGTTCATACCACTTACCTTGAAATGACATGCGGCGTTGAGATGTGGGTTGCGAAGATGGCTGTTCTTGAAGAAGTCTTTGAATTGGTTTGATGTTAGGCTCGTTTGGACTTCCTCGCGAGAATATTACCAACGGCCGCATCGAAGTTGTGCCCGATTCAATCATCTCTACCAGTGCTGAAAGTTAGTGTGAGAGAGTTTAACTTAGAAGTTGTATGCGAAATAATTTTGACGGGATGGTCACCTTGCTGCAGTGAAGATGAACAGAGAACCACAGAAGCCCTTGAGGATGTCAACGATTGTGCAAGGGCTTCTTTGCGAAGGTTCGTATTGATCCAAGCGGAGATCACACCTATCTATGGAAATGTTTCAAGAGATTCATTTTATACGGTATAATTGAGTGTCGCCCTTATAAACATTCCAAAATGATGAAATCTATCCAGAGGAAGGAAATCGTATTGCTTCGATCTCATGAAATTTCTAGTAGAGAGAGAAAGTTGTCAACAGTTGTAGCTCTACCTTCGCACAAGCAAGCCAAGCAGCAACAAAGTCGACTCCATTTTCCATAAAAATCGCCACCACACCACCAGGCTGTACTTTGGAGTTTCTCTGGAATACATTATTCGCTAGGTTCACTATGTAGCAATACTACCACTATCACACGACCATTGTGAAGGGTTACGGCAATCCTTTCAAATTTGGTGAATTCCGGGGCAGAATTGGGCTTTGAGCGGAATCCCATGTTACAAATAGATGTGGTGATACGCATAAATGTGTATATCTGGACCATAATACGTACGTACCTCATGAGTGTGGTGGTAGGGACTACGGGACTCATATCCTAGGCAGCGTTCAGGCTTCGCGGCAGCGCTTCGGTCTCGCGTTCGATGAGAACGATGCGTCTAACGCGCGACTGAAGCGCTGTCGTCGCGAAATCTGAACGCTGCTGTAGGAATGAAGGACTACGTGACGTAATGAAAGGTGGCACGTCATCACGCACGCGAACCGGGGTCAAGTCGCGGATCGGTTCCAACTTGACCGGATATCCTCCGTGGTATGGTATCGATTCGTCTGGGAGGATAAGGACACTGACTTCTACATCGATGCCCTCGCAAGTCATTGTGTAGGCCACATGGCATTCAGAAACCACTATGATTCTGAACTTGATACGGAATGCGTGTCGCATCTCGAAGAGGGAAGAAGGCGTGTCGCATCTCGATACGGACTATCAAAGGCGAAATCTTGACTTTTTAAACCTTAGGAATGACCGCATGCTGATTATCGAACTTGCATGGCCGAATCGATCCCTACACATATCTCCTAAGCAGGGCACATCAACGTTGTGTAAACCTCAAAAGGAGTCGTATTTGGTGTTGCTCCGGGCGCTGCACGGGGGGCCGTTCCGTACTCCTCACTACCGATTCCACGCCGGCTATAATTTTATCCTTCCTTTCCTACAGTCGGTGAGTGCGGTTTGGGTCGGACAAGCGCTACGGCAATAATTCATGATGCTTTTTGTCTGTACGCCTAGCTTGCCCCAGAGTCGCAATAGGATTCCCTCTGCTCCATGCACATGTTCACCTTCGCCTCCAACAGAGTGCCGCATGCAGAATCTGTGTCGCTTACTGTAACATACTGGCACCGGTCCCCCCGCCCTGCACTGATAGCATGCTGACAGTCCGTCCTCGAACCCTCCCCTCCCGCCACCTTCTATCCGGTCGCATGGAGAACGGAATGACTTCTACCGGATGTAAAGTGCATTATCGTATCATACTGGGGACGGCGGCCGACACAACAAAGAAGTGGCGGGTTAAGCTTAGGTGACGCTCTCGCAAGCTAATCGTCAAGATTCCTAACTAATACTTTATCGCGTTAAGCAATGGCTGATATTTTCCTGGAAATATTCCTTGTTTCCTGTAAAATAGGTTCGCTTCAATGCTCCAGCGCGTCCTTAGGCGTCCACTTTCTGTGTACTGGCTCTGCTCCCCGCCGGCCCCGCCCCCCCACCCGCACCCCCCTACTCCCACACTCTGCCCTCGCATCTAGCGTAGTTTTTTACACCATTCATGGGCCTAAAGTAGTCAGCGAAGTTCTCACGGTTTTGTTGGTATTCATCGGCGCGCGCTGGCCACACAGTGCACATCTTCCGCTTTTAGGATTCCAGTTGCGACCTACACTAATCTTAACACACACGAGGCACGGGACGTGGTGCGCTGCGTGGAAAGCAGTTCAGTGAAGTACACACTGTAACCTACGACAAGCAGGACTCTCCCTAGACAAGGACAGGATAGCACCGGGTAGCTCGCACCAAAAAGGCTGACAAGAAACTACAACAATTTGCGGCAATTGGGCCAGAGCTCACGAACAGAGCCAGGTGTAAGACTAGAAACGGGTATTGATGACAGCCTATGTCTTGGAGTATTATCTTCTTTCGGGTCACTGCGTAACTTGGGACACTATCTTTGGCGAAATATGTACTCTGACTGCGTTCGATTTCACTTCACTGCTACAAACGTGGTCACTCAACAGTGGAAATGCGCCTGTCCATTTGCAGTCGGGTGTATGTCGACACGATTTTCAAAGAGGCCTGTCACCCCACCTGTCCCGTCTAGCTTCAGTCAAAGACGCTACGCGCAGTTCTATGTGCATATGCACACACAACGTGTTTGAAGTACCTGGATCAATTGTGAGCATATCAGACAGCGCTAACTGGTCTAGTTCGTCGTGAAATGGTAAACGATTTCCCGGAGTCAACATTCATAAATTGCTTCCTTTAAGTTTGGCATACAGATTGGCCGCTTTCAACTTGTTCTCACTGGCTATTATGACTGACCTATTGGGGGTGTTTCTTCACAGTATCTAGGAACTATCTCTTGTATGCCATCTGTCTCCGCTCACAGAATGCCTAGGAGCACATCCGCAATCGTTATCCTATATAAGGATTAGTAAGTCCTCTGTCAGAAATGCCTGTCATTAATGAGATCAAATCTAGCGGGTTTTTTCTTTATTGCCATTGACAAAGAACAAAGTTAGAATTCTGACTGGGAAGACACACTAGGCAATGACCTCATAGAAACATTCCACATCCACCGAATGGTCTAGGGAGTGGTTAGGGCGAATGACGCTTCAGCACTTAGGATCCTTATTGGATCCATCCCCCTCTTCCTTTTTGCGTATGGGACACAATCACTACCATTCACGGTCCACTGCCGCGATATCTCTTGCTCTCCTCATTTACACAAGGACGCGTCATACTTTCATGCAATAGCAAGAGAAAAACAGCAGCGCGGAAGAAAATCTCCTCAACTCCGTTCAGATAATCGTTCAGCAGATTCTGAGGTAAGATTCAAGTTTAGCCACCCCCCTCCCCCTCTGCCCCCAAGACTGCGCCTGCACCGTCCCACTGCCAAATCGTGGACTGACATCTATCAACTCCTACCTCGCTACCAAGGACTTCAAGTCGCTGAATGTGTCTTCAACCGATTAATGTTTGTCAATTTACCTGAGATCCCTCGATGTTGTTTGCGATACTCGCTGAAGATACCCTGATCTGCGGCGTAGTATGTAATATAATATAATCATTGAAATTAAGGAACTGGCCGAAATTGTAGCAAGTATTATGACTGACCATGGTACCATATCTGAAACAGCTAATTTCAGGCAGCGATTTCGAATGAAGAGGAGAACAGGGACAATACATGGAACGAAAGGCTTTGTACTGAACGCTGAAATGATTCCTTAACAAGCACGAGTCTAAATGTGCATACATCCATCAGTCATGCCGTAAAAACACAAATCTACAAACCAAACCCTAGTTTTCTATAATAAAATGCCAGCGGGTAAGTCCGTGTGCAGTGCAGTGTTTTATCTTTCAAGGAAAACCTAATTACAATTATCCGTTTCAGGCTGCTTTCATACTTTGCAGCAGCGTCCACAAGCGACCAATAGCGTCCATTAGCATTCCGAGCGTCCGGCAGCGTCAGCGACTAGGAAAGCATAGATATCGATCTAGCGTCTGCCAGCGTCCTCCAGCGTCCACCGGCGTTCAGCAGCAGTCGGGAGTAGAGAGTATATGGAAGTACGAGTAGTCCTCTTTGGGAAAAGTAGTTCAGTGCGCGTTCCATATTCAAGCGAAACCATCATATGCATGCTCTCCTTTTCGGGACACAAAGAACTGCGCGACGTTCTGCGGAATACAACATGTCGCTACGTAAAGGGATGCTAAAAGCATTACAACATTAGCAATTATCGAGTTTTATGGTGTGCTGTGTTGACCGAGCCTTCTCAGCAATTTATTACCGAAAGAGATTCCACAAAGTTCTTCACGACTACTTTCATCTAGGTGTCTCCGGTAGAGAAAGAGAGTACCAGTAGAAACAAAAAAAAAATCGATGCTGCTATTCTGTTGTGGAAGGACGTTATCGAAGAAGTTACTGCGCAGTGAGTCAAAGGTACTCTGTTGTGCTATCGCATATACTCTAATTCCATGTGGTGCGGCGGGCAAATCTGCGGCTTAACACATTGAGCGCCGCTACGTTTTTGCACCGACTCCCGTTTACACTTCCTGCGTCTCCGCGCGCGTGAATTGCCTGCAATACACAAACGCGCGGAAACGGGATTCTTTGTGTCGCACGTCCTTCGTACGCTCATTCTGCTTTCATTTGCGCTTGATTTTCGCATGAACATATTCAATAGAAGCTAAAACTCGGTTTAGGTTACATACTTGGATGTAGAAAACGAAGTAGAGGACGTCAATTTAGCTTTGACGACTTTTTTAGTACAGTGATGAAAAGGAATTAGATGACTCGGACAACACAGAATACGATTACGATAAAATCCGGAAGAGCAGTTGTTCAATTAGATGGAATTTATGCATGAGGGGCAGGTGCAGCGGGTCATTTTCTGGAAGATCAGGTGTTAAGAGCAAACCAGTCTGTTGCGCAATCGCGCTAATGGATTTTTATTTCTTGTTTGGGAATGACGAGCTCTCCTGATATTAATAGAAACCAAACTATATGAGGAACAAAACGACCCAAACTTCTAGCCAACTGAGCTCGCAAAGCTCGAGGAGGATCAATTAAAAGTTGTCATATGAATGCAATCACCTTTCTATGGACTATTTTTTTCAAAGTAAATGAAACAGCTTTATGAGCACTTTACTTCAAGCCATTGAGAAGGTAGAATAAGGAAAACATATTGAGCATACATTCAGCGAGAACCATTCACAAACGCATGGTTAGCTAGGAAGAAATTGATCCACAAAATGCGAATGGTAAGCAGTACGCAAACGCGCGGAACGGGAGTACGCGCGTGTATTGCTGACACTTCACGCGGCGTTCAATGTGTTAAAGACAGTTCCCGCGATCAAGTGACCTGTAGGATTCTTCCGTTCATTTAGCATTCGGGTCCACACTCGGAGAGAATGTGGGGCGCGAACTTTCTACACATCAAAACGCGAGGTAAAGGGGTCGCACACACGGGGTGACCCGTTTGCGCAACGCTTCCTATCATATTTCGCTAGCTCTGGGCAAGCCAGCGGCTTAGCGGCGGCAGTAATTAGGCTGGCG